TTTGGGGAAGTAAAAAAAATAAAGAAACTAACCAAGATAAATAAATAATAAATAACAATTTAAAAACTGCTTTGGGGAAGTAAAAAATAAAGAAAATAACAAATAAAGAGAACTAATAAATAAAAATAAGAAAATGCTTTGGGGAAGTAAAAAAATAAAATAAAAAAATAAAGGTAAATCAATAATAAAAATTGCTTTGGGGAAGTAAAAAAATAAATAGCAAATAAAGAGAAATAAATAATAAATAATAAAAATTGCTTTGGGGAAGTAAAAGAATAAAAAAACAAACAAATAAAGGTAAATAAGTAAGTGAATAAAACTAAAAAACCGCTTTGGGGAAGTAAAAAATAAAGGAAATAACAAAGATAAAAAATATAATTTTTGAAAAAAAATGAAAAAAAAATTAATTTTTTTTTTTATTTAAAAAATTAAAAATAAAAAAAATTTAAAAAATTAAAAAATAAAAAAAACCCCACTTTTTTGTTGTTGTTGGGGGAAGGGGGTTGGGGTCTTTGCCTCTGGCCCTGATCCAGATGTTCTCTCTCCCCAGATGTTGTCCTTCATGCACGCCCAGTTCACCTTTTTCCAGCAGGGTCACAGCCTCCTGCACGAGCTGGAGCCCTACATGAAGAAACTGGCCACGGAGGTGAGGGGCACCCCAAAATAACCCCAAATAACCCCGAAAATAACCCAAAATAACCCCAAAATAACCCCCAAAATAACCCCGAAATAGCCCAAAAATAACCCCCAAATAACCCCAAAAATAACCCCAAAATAACCAAAAATAACCCCGAAATAACCCCCAAAATAACCCTGAAATAACCCCAAAATAACCCCCAAATAACCCAAAAATAACCCCAAAATAACCCCAAAAATAACCCCAAATAACCTCGAAAATACCCCCGAAATAACCCCAAAAATAACCCAAAAATAACCCCAGAATAACCCCAGAATAACCCCGAAATAACCCCAAAAATAACCCCGAAATAACCCCGAAATAACCCCCAAATAATCCCCAAAAATAACCCCAAAATAACCCCGAAATATCCCCAAAATAACCCCAAAAATAACCCCCAAAATATCCCCAAAATAACCCCAAATAACCCCCAAATAACCCCAAAAATAACCCAAAAATAACCCAAAAATAACCCAAAAATATCCCCAAAATATCCCCAAAATAACCCCGAAATAACCCCAAATAACCCCAAAAATAACCCAAAAATAACCCCGAAATATCCCCAAAATAACCCCAAAAATAACCCCCAAATAACCCCAAATAACCCCCAAATAACCCCAAAAATAACCCAAAAAATACCCCAAAATAACCCCGAAATAACCCCAAAAATAACCCCGAAAAACCCCAAAATAACCCCAAAACCCCAAAAAATATCCCAGAGAGAGCCAGGGGGGCTGATTGAACCCCAAAACCCAAAAAAAAAAATCCCAGAGTGAACCCCCAGGAGCTGGAGCTGCACCCCAAAACCTCCCCAAAAAAACCCCAGAGACCCCCAGGGGCTCTGACTGAACCCCAAAACCCCAAAAAAACCCCAGAGACCCCCAGGGGGTTTGACTGAACCCCAAAACCCCAAAAAAACCCCAGAGGAACCCGCAGGGGCTGCACCCCAAAACCCCAAAAGGATGGAG